CCCAGCCTTTCTTTATGAACTTTTAGATATAAATATTTTATGTATTTCAATCCATTTGCAGTGATTATTATCTTTACTGGTGACCAATTTTTCCTATTTTTGGAGCCCTTGGTTCATCTTAGTCCTTTTGACATGACTCCAATAGTTTTTTAATAGTTTATATTCTGTAGCAGATCATATTTTCAGGAGATGATTGTGCTATGTATCTCATTCAACTTGGAGTTGACAACTTTCAATCCAGAAGTGGATTTAAGTTCCCTCCACCTTGGTAAACTGTATGGACAATCTTAGCTGAGGCTATGGAATTATGGAAACCAAGGCATAAAAAGCAATTGAATTTCTACTTGGGGTCTGTCTCCCTCCCTCCCCCTACCCTCTCCTCCCTCCTTTTCTTTCTCCTTCTTTCTTCCATTCTCTTCATTTAGAGCTCAGGCTTCAGCTTGGGAAAACCCAGGCTTCAGGGAGAGGCTGTGCATGGTTCAGATGCCAGTTTCCACGGAAGCCTTGGTGGTGGACAGCTTCAAATGCTAGACCCATAAGCTGTCAGACGATTCCAGTCCCAGCCTTCAAACTGATAACAGGGGGCAGACAGGCTGTTCAAGCCTCCCCACATCTTTCATCTGCAATCCACAAAAACAGGCTGCTATTGTCTTAATTTTTGGCATGGCTTATTTCACATCAACAGGAAAGTAAACTGCATTACAGTGTGACAAAGGGTTCTGTGCTCGTGGTGGATATTGTTTATGCTGGACCCAGAATTAGTCAGTGAGACACGGTCCCTGAAGGCCACAGTCAGATCACTTTTGGAAGTTGATTGTGTGTATTAATTTAGAGAGAAATACCAATTTACAACACTGAGTCCTTTTTTTACTTTATGAAAAAAATCTGCACAATGTGTATTGTTATCTTCAAAGTTGTTACTTGGATTAAGACATAAAGCAAAAAGATTCTTACGATATGTGATTCAGGGAAGCATTCCTGTTCATGCCTCTTCCTTCTGCTCTGTGTTTGTATACAAACACATAGTGTCTCCTGTAAGAGAAACCTGCAGTACTTGAGATCGTATGTCTGGTTCATCCCGCCTATGCTCCATTCTCAAGCAATATCCAGTCCTTTTAACCACAAATATGTTGCCATTACTTAATTAAGCTTTCTTCACTATCTTTCAATAAAAAATGTTTCTTCATATTTTATAATTTTTATTTGCTGATTTTCATGTCTTTTCTAGATTTGCTATGATGGTCATTTTTTTGGGCCAGGTGTGGCAGTACACAAGTGTAATCCTAGCA